AAAAGCCGAAGATTTTAGAATTGATAATAATCGGCGGGATTTTAAAAGCCGAAGATTTATTTGTATCCATGTATTTTTAAAAGAAAAATAATAATAATCGGGGGGTTCACTGTGGCTTTCCATACTATACAGTAGCTCTATGTTCTTATAGATCTCATAACATTACGATTAAAAGTCAGATTATGTGTGTGTAAGTTTATTAGAAAATTCAACGAGACACGTCCTAATCAGGTAAAATCCAAAATAACAATTTACAAATTCAGATCTACTGCCTGTTGTATATTGCTTACATGATTGTATATTGCCAAACGAATAGATATGTTTGGTACGGGATGGCGGCTTCGAAGCGGAGACAAAAAGACCCAGATAAATGTGTAGAATTTTGTTGTTGAGATTTTTTTTTTAAGAACTAGATTCATATCTCAGAATTTGAATATAGCATCTCGTTTTCTTAAAATAAATTGTAAGCTATTACTGGCTATAATAATTACCCCCTTATAAGTATTCGCAAAACATGAAGTTAATGATCAATGAATATGAAAACACTTTATAAAGTATAAATATTGGTAAACGGACAGCAAGTCATAGGACTATTATAGTTCGAATAAATTTGTTTACAATAACTGTTGAAAGATTATGAGAGAAAAATCTGGATGAATTTATTTTTATTAGAATGATTTATTTTACAGTAAAGGCTTCATATTTTTAATCAGTTATTTGTAAAAGAAAGGTGACATGTTTAACACTATGGATCCAGTAAATTAACAAACTACTATGATGGATTTTTTTCTTTACAATCATTGATCATTATTAATATTTAAGAATAACTTTTGTTTACAAATTCGTTTTAATAAATAATGGTTCAAGAAAAAAACTTTTTGAAAATTAGTCTGTTAGTTTTCAAAGAAAAAAATTTCTTAAAAACTGAACTGTGAGCCAACGGTTTTCAATCGTTACGTTTTGTTATACTTTTTTAGTGTTAATCTCAGCAAAAACAAATTTGGTGATAAAAATCGATTTGTTGGTCTTTCGTAAAATTAAAAAAAAAAAACATACGTCATAATGTAATCTTATAAAAAAAAAGGGGGGGGGGGGGGCGATGGAAGAAATTCAATATTGATCCTTCAAGGGACAAGTGAACGTTGGAGATATTCATTCCCTATTGTAAAATATTGAGTTTTTGGTTGATTAATGTCGGGTGTGTCTGACGTACCGAATAATATATGATAGGTACATATAGGTCTTGTAATTGAGACCGCCCGTGATACGGTCGGAAGATTTCGACTGCCAATGAAAAAGGAGGGACAAAAAATTGGCCTAATACCAGGCTACTTACAGTCCACTCGAAGAGTTGTTGCAAGGATTCAACGTCCCCATTCGGACGTGGCTGAGCACAGCCCATGCAATGGACGTTCCACTATCATTACTGCTAAGGATTTATTGCCGGTCAGAAGAAGACCTGTAACGACGCTATTTCTATAGTTACTCTAGTTCGCTAACGAATTCGCTTCTTGTTCCATTGAATATAAAGGAAAGAGTTATCTAATATATAGATATTTTTCTTGAACTACTATAAATAAAGTAGTTCATTTTAAAATGTATTCTTTAAAGGTTAAGAAAACAATAAGTTAAAATGGTTAGTACATACATGGCTTCATGGCTAATACCAACTAGAGGCTCTCAAGAGCCTGTGTCGCTCACCTGTATTTACTGATGCTTTGGAAATCATGTAAAATAAGGTTAAAATCATAATTAATAGTATTAGATATTAGATATTATAATGATATCTCTAACTCAGGGGCAGCAACCCAACAACGGGTTGTCGGATTCGTCTGAGAATTACAGGGCAGATAAATCTAAATCTGATAAACATTTTGCCACCTGTCAGATTTGCTCTAAATGCTTTAGTTTCAGAGATATAAACCAAAAACTGCATTTTACCCCTATGTTCTATTTTCAACCAAGTCAGCCATGATGGTTGGAAGGCGGGGTCATCGGACAAATTTTTTAAACTAGATTCCCTAATAATGATTATGGCCAAGTATGGTTAAATTTGTCTCAGTAGTTTCAGAGAAGAAGATTTTTGTAAAAGATAACACAAAGTTATGAAAAATTGTTAAAAATTGACTTTTAAGGGCAATAACTCCTAAAGGAGTCGACTGACAATTTTGGTCATGACAACTTATTTGTAGGTCTTACTTTGCTGAACATTATTGCTATTTACAGTTTATCTCTATCTATAAAAATATTCAAGATAATAACCAAAAACTGCAAAATTTCCTTAAAATTACCAATTCAGGGGCAGCAACCCAACAACAGGTTGTGAAATTTGTCTAAAAATTTCAGGGCAGATAGATCTTGACCTGATAATCAGTTTTACCCTGTCAGATTTACTCTAAATGCCTTGGTTTCAGAGATATAAGCCAAAATCTACATTTTACCCCTATGTTCTATTTTTAACCATGGCGGCCATCTGGGTTGGTTGGCGGGGTCATCGGACACATTTTAAAACTAGATACCCTAATGATGATTGTGGCCAAGTTTGGTTAAATTTGGCACAGTGGTTTCAGAGGAGATGATTTTTGTAAAAGTTTACGGACGCAGGACGCAGGAGACCGGACGACGGACGACGGACGACGGACGCCAAGTGATGAGAAAAGCTCACTTGGCCCTTTGAGCCAGGTGAGCTAAAAAGGTATAGCCAATTTCCCGTTTATTTTTTTCGTTGTTTGGTTCACATGTTCAGATTTAATAAATTGATGAATTTAATAATTTATTGATATCCTAAATCCTTGTTAATATATTTACTTCGGTAGAAAAGAAAGTTATTAATCTTCTCACCTGGACTTTAATCTGCATATCTATTATCAGAGACATATATACACATATGTGTATATATGTCTCTGCTATTATCTGTTTTGGGATTTAAAAAAAATCTTTAAAAAATGCGGTTTCGAGCCTATTTCTTCATTTTAATTTGGTTACACGTTCAGCAATAACTGATACAAAAATGATATATTACCAATGATAAGGCCATATATTTGAAGCTGTTCAAAATTTTGTACATTATAGGTACGTGTATCAGATCGGACATTTTTTTAACTGTTATAAATATAAATAATCTTACTATAAGTTATCTCAGGTCTAAACAAAATGTTACTATGAGTGTTCTAATGAGTTTTGTTTGATAATTTTTTGTTTAATTCAGTTAAAAGTTTGGTTTTTTTTTTACACGAGAAGGTCTGCTAAAAAGTTTATGATGATCTCTTTTTTTCAGCATAACAAACGGATACACTAGGTGGACTTTCCTCTGTTCCGATGAAGGCAGTGCACGTCTTTCATTTAAAAGATTAAATCGTAGTTTGCAACAGACGGTGGCACATCGGACATTGACTTACCATTTTATAATTTGTAACAATTGTGATTAACCATATATTTATGAGTTATAACAAAATTATTTTTTGTACATCTTTATTTAAGATGATCGAGATTTGAGAATGATATGAAAATAATAAAATATATATTACAAAAAAAGTAATCTCAGGTCTAGTTATCTAGTACGAAATATATCCACTGGAAATAAGCCCTTTAAAACACAAATCCACGTTTACTCATTGCGAAGTTTATTTGTTAGTGTTTTTTTAATTTTTTTTTTAATGATTTTATTATATTATCTTTTTAGTGAAAATTTTGAGTGGTTAAACATGAAATGGACACCGATGCTACAAAGAAAATTTGTTTAATGTCATCAGTTGCAATATATACTAAGTATTACACGTGGACAGGATGTTCCCCAGAAAATTAAGGTATTCAAAATAAGTTATACACACCCCAAGGGTACACGCCACTGTTATATGGAAAATTACTGGGTCACCAGTAAACTGGTAATCAGCCATGCAACTAATCAGATGACTGACCATGCCACTACAATTTAAAAAGTTTGTCGTTAGATCAAAATGAAATATTTATTTTAATTTAAAATTGAAGAACTAAAAGGATTTATCATAAATATGAAAGGAAATAATTCAACAAAATCGGATTATTTCCCAAAAGATTATATTTTTTTTAATCTTTTTCCGGGGAAAATAGAAAACTGTATATATAAAGGGTCACATCAAGGATTTTATAGAAATCCTTGGTCTCATGAAATGGATCTCACAAAGACATGCATAATTAAAATTTATACATTTCTTGATTCTATGATTTCTTGAGAAATCAGGAGCGAAATATAACAAATATTTAGTTTTGATATTAATTAAATTTACCTTTCCTCGCTATAATTCATTTGACATAACGTTGAGGGATTTAAGGGTTTGTCCGTACAACGTGTTTGTCATTAGTATTTCACATGACTTATTGTTTTCGCGCTTCGCCTTGAAGCTCATTATTCAGACTGTTTCAGACAAGATGATGAAAATAACGTGCAAGGCACTTTTTTTTCGATCATCGTGAAGTGCACTCTCCCCCTCTTCAAGAATTGTATATTTATAAATCCTCGTCCTTTTAAAAATTACCACACTCTTTATGATTACCGTTATGCTATTATGTTAAGAGTAACCCCGGACTTGATTTACATGTAATATCAGGGGCGATTCCAGCCTGGATAAAGGGGGTCCAAATATATGTCTCCATTAAATGCATTGATCGTTCACAAAAAGGGGAGTCAAACCCCCGGATCCCATCACCCTTCGATCAGCCACTAATTGTGAATATAAATATAATTGTTACTTTAAAGTCATAGACTAGTACAAGCTCCGAGCACCTGTTTTGGAATATATACAGCTAATTAACCGTAAATAACTGCGAGATAATGAATAACAAGTTGATAATTGTCTATTCTCTGCTAATTAATGTACCTGCAATTCACCCTGATTCATTTGTATGACCACCGACACTAATAATAATACCTCAAAGTTAGAGGTTCTCCGTTACTGGGAACTTCATACCGGATCCGATCAATTTATTGGTTCCATTTCCCCTAGTATTAATGATCCATTTGCTTTGCAGTGACGATGACAATCATAGGTATACTCATTACTGTTGATTTTGCATGATAACATACATGTTATGTCAACTCACTTCACCTTCCTGCGGCGTCAGAGAGAAAAAAAAAAGCTTTGCAATGCGTCATAATTATTTGGACTGCTTCCATATGAATTTAAAAAAAAACCAAACAATAATTTATTTCACTGATTGAGATTGGGCTGACGAGACATTTCAGCATGTGAACTCTTAATTGCTAGTCCAAGTACACAGTTATCATCCATTGACTTTCAGTTTTTACAAAAAGATTCCCTAGTGTGGACCATGTATTACTTCAAAATTTATTTATTTATATTTTTTATGCATAAAAAGTAAGTGCAATGAAGTAGGGGGATGGAATCATTTTATTTTAGTTTGAGAATCACTCATACTTCTTGTATGATGTCACCTTAGCCTACAAATTACCAAAAAGAAACACATTTCTATTTCCTCTAGCTTATGTGTATGCCTTTTCATATACATGTAAGAATGTGTTACTGCCTATTTTGACCTTAAATGTTTAATTCAGTCTTGCATGGCCTACTGGGACCTTGTATTACTCATGTGGTATGCTATAAGCAGATAAGTTATTTTCTTTCCTTTTGTATTACAAATAACTTCTTAAATATACATGAAGAATTTTTATATCAGCCTCCCCCTCCCTTAATTTGAAATCTCTATTTTCAGGCATAGGCTCATATAAATTCGACTTTTGAAGAATTGAAATATATCTGAGACAGCAAATGAGTATTCAGCTGCTTTACATTAAAATAAATCATGTACATACATCACTGTTACACAGTTATCATCCATTGACTTTCATTTTTTACAAAAAAATTCCCTAGTGTTGACCATGTATTACTTCAAAATTTATTTATTCATATTTTTTATGCATAAAAAGTAATACACAATTACATATAAATAGTTATAAAGACATTTAAAAACAATTTTTTGCAATATTTAAATTATGTAGGCCCATATCTTGATAGTAAGTTAAACGTTAAACTTTAAACGGCAAAAAATTAACACCCAAAGTTCAAACATAAGAATGAACTTATAGTCTTTAATGTATATATGCTATTGCCATGAAACTAGCTAAACTTTCTTATAATTCCCTAATCTTAGTTCATGCCAAGTTTGATTAAAATTAGTGTTTCTACTCTATTAGGTCTCTAGTGTGGATAGTGTATAACTTGCAAATTATTTTCATACTCCTCCCAAATTTATTGCTTTAAATATTATGGATGAAATTACATTGGAAAAAAATGTGGCAATTTTTTTTAGGTTGAGGATGTTCGCTCCTCTTGATTTTGAATTTTAACCAGATATTCGGAATCCTCTGGTTTTATCCATGCAGTGCCATTAAAAAACTTTGCCCGCATACTTTTCTCTTCATATTTTCATTACATTGTTTAAAAAGCCATATTTAAAATCTTATAAAATCCTTTTTTTTTTCATAGCTTTTGAAAGAAAAAGGTGCCAGTGTTAAGTGTATGAAAAATCTAGAGAGAATCACTTCCCGCCAAATTTTTAATGGCTTAAATCTTAAAAACAAGCACACGGACCCTTCATTTTTTCTGTTTTTTTAGTTCCTTTATTCATATACCTTCAATTTATAACAGTCTTTTAAAAAGCTTGTTATTTTGAAACAGAGTAGCGAACATCCTTAAGTAGTGATTTGGTATAGTTTGAAAAGGTCAAATATTAGTATGTCTGATGTTGTCAAACTAAATTATAGACCCTTTAAACATTGAAATGTCCATATTTTGTGTTATAGCTTATAGATTTTTCTATTATGTTAATATGTCCTGTCCCAAAAGTAGTACACTACACTGTAAAAATCTTTTTTGGATAGAGCCAGCGCAATTTTTTAAATTTGCCTTTTTAGCTCATTGTTCCGAAGGAACAGTGAGATTTTGCCATCACTTGGCGTCCGTCGTCGTCTGTCATTGTCTGTCGCCAACCGTTGGCGTCCGTCAGGTGTAAACTATTTCATACATCTTCCCCTCTACTGAACCAATTCCTACCAAACTTAAGCTGAATGAACTTTAGGGTATCTACAATAAATTTTGTGTTTTGTTTTTGTTACATCAAAAAACATTGTTGTCATGGCTAAATAAGAACATAGGGGTAAATGCAGTTTTTGGCTTTTATTTCAAAACCCAAAGCATTTAGAGCAAATCTGACACAGAGTCAATTGTTCATTAGGGGTTCAAAGTGCTATCAGCCTTGAAATTTTCTGATGAATCTAATAACCCATTGTCATGATTGTTGGGTTGCTGTCACTAAATTGGTAATTTCAAGGAAAATTTGCAGTTTTTGGTTATTATCTTGAATATAATTAATGATAAAGATAAACTGTAAACAGCAAAAATGTTCAGCAAAGTAAGATCTACAAATAAGTTTCATAACCAAAATTGTCAATGAACCCCTTAAGGAGTTATTGCACTTTAACGACAATTTTACACAATTTGTTTATGTTTTATAACGTGAAAAAATCCTTCTCCTCTGAAACTACTGAACCAATTCCAACCAAACTTAGGCTAAAGGTTCCTTAGGGTATTTAGAATAAAGCTTGTATTTTATTTTCTGTTTCATCAATAAACATGGCTGCCATGTCTAAAAATAGAACATAGGAGTAAAATGCAGTTTTTGGCTTATATCTCAAACGCTAATGCATTTAGAGCAAATCTTATGTGAGGTAAAATTGTTTATTATGTCAAGTTCTATCAGCCATTAAATTTTCAGATGAATCTAACAATCCCTTGTTGGGTTGCTGCCACTAGATTGGTAATTTTAAGGAAACTTTGCAGTTTTTATAAGACCGCAAAAAAATATTGGTATGACGTTGGCGTCGTCGTCCAAAGACACATTGGTTTTCGCACTCTAACTTTAGTTTAAGTTAATGGATCTCTATGAAATTTCACCTTAAGGTTCAATACCACAAAAGGAAGGTTGGGATTGATTTTGGGGGTTATGGTACTAACAGTTAAGGAATTAGGGGCTAAAAGGGGGCAAAAAATAAGCATTTTTGTAACTTCCAGACAAACTTGTGTGTTAGTGTATTGATCTCTCTGACATTGTACCACAAGGTTCCATATCACAAAGGGAATGCTGGGATTGATTTTGGGGGTAATTGCATCAAAATTTTAGGAATTAGGGGCAGAAAAGGGGCAAAAAACAAGCATTTGTCTAGTTTCATGACAATAACTTGTGTGTAAGTGCATGGATCTTTCTGAAATTATACTACATGGTTCATTATCACAAAGGAAAAACTTGAATTGATTTTGGGGGTAATTGCCCACAATGTTTAGGAATAAGGGGCCAAAAAGGCGCCAAAAATAAGCATTTTTCTAGTTTCCAGACACTAACTTGTGTTCAAGTGTATGGATTTCTCTGAAATTGTACTGCAAGGTACCATACCACAAAGGGAAGGCTGGGATTGATTTTGGGGGTAATTGCATCAAAATTTTAGGAATAAGGGGCAAAAAACAAGCATTTTTCTCGTTTTAGGACAATAACTTGTGTGTAAGTGTATGGATCTATGTATTGTACTACAAGGTTCCATATCACAAAGGGAAAGCTGGGATTGAGTTTGGGGGTAATTGCCCTAAACGTTTAGGAATTTGGGGCCAAAAAGGGGCAAAAAAAGCATTTTTCTAGTTTCCAGACAATAACTTGTGTTCAAGTGTATGGATCTCTCTGAAATTGTACTGCAAGGTACCATACCACATAGGGAAGATTAGGATTGAATTAGAGGGTGATGAATCATAAGGGGGTTCAACAAATGGGGGGGGGGGAGGATTTTTTTTTCCTTTTGTTTTCTTTAAAATTTTGTTATTACTGATTTATATATAAAAGCAAATAATAATGATATGGTTTGAATCGGTAAATTAGAAATTTTTAAGTTCTTAGACCACATTTATTTTGTGAGCCTCTTGTTTTAATTGCTTCTGTAAGTAATATATTAATTTGAAATTTTGACGAAAGACACATACAGATTATACCGTTTACAATATTTCAGAGTTTAATGTTGTCAAGCACACAAATCATAGAAGAATAGTTAATCACGTCATTGCTGTCCATTAAAAAATTAGTATGAACACGATGAAAAAGTACGGGAATGCTTGTTTGTTAAACTATTGACCGTGGTTATGTCTTTGAAACTGTTGACTGGCTAATAGTCTGTGAAATGAAATAGCACAAGTATTTCATTCCTTTTTTATATCATGGTATATAGAAAAACACATACTGATGTATAATAATAGTTATAGTCATTAAATTATAGTTTTTACCTTTTTTAAGTTTAGGGCAAGAAATATAGAAGATAAAGAAAAATATAAACAATTAAAACTGTACAGTAGAAATGATCGGCAATACAAGATAAACAGAAGACAACAAGGCCTAAATGGTAAGACCATTTCTATATAATAAAAGTGATTGCCCTTGAATGATGACTATTATAAAAATAAGAAGATGTGGTATGTGAGTTATCTATCCACCAGAGTTTAATGAAGTGGATGCAAGCAATTAAAGACCAATGACTGCCTTCGATAATGAGAAAACCCATACCTTTTAAGTCAGCAAATAAAGACCCCAACATGAAAAGATTTAAACAATCCAAATTAGTTCAAAGCCAATAACAATTTATAAAAAAAATCATGTCTGTGAGCACTCGAGTCACCTAACCATAATCTAGGACAGTGGTTCAAATAGCACAACATATGAACAAACTGTAAAAACTGTTGCAAGTGGCTCAACTCATTATCACTGCAAGGCACTAAAACGACTGATATTAAGTCGTGGACACAAAGCACTGAAATAACAGAACTCATAATCATGATTAGTAAGAATATCAAATTTAAGTTTCTCAAAATGTTCATATTAAACATGATAAAATAAGCTTATTTCATATTGCTGTTTTTTTCTCAATTCATATTTTGTGTATTTATAGGTGAGACTTCTTGGTTTTCATGATCATCAACAGGTCAGTACAGAGGAAACTTAAGGTTAATACTTTTCTACATGGTGTACTAATAGGATTAATGTGAAATGAAATGTGTGCTTACCTGGAAAAAGAAAAATAGGAAATTTCTACAAAATGGCTGTAAACAAAATGGAGTACAATCATAGATGCACACAAGAACACAATTGTGTAATTGCAACAACCTACATATTCACTGAAGGATTATGGAGAAATGTAGAAAAAAATAGTATTTTGTTGTCGAAATAAACACCTGCTTTATCCATTCATGTACATAGCTCTGTCATATCAAATATACAGAGGAAGATGTTTGAAGAACAAATTGCAAAAATGTATTCTCTACCAATTGAAGGAAGATGTCTGGTGGATGGAATTATTTATGCACTGAACTGTTATGTAGGGGATTGAATAATTGTACGCAACAGCTTAAATAGAAGAAAAGTTAAATTAACATGAAAAGTGGTTATTTTATTTAATCTGCAAATATGAGCACAATATTAATAACATCACAAATAGTATGATATTCATAGCGTTTTGCTTATTATTGTATTGTCTCAAACAGCTAGCCTATTGTTTTAGTATGTCATGTTACTCATCAGTGAACATTTTATTAAAGTTTTAATTATCTTTTGTATCAATTATTCAGTCTCAGGAAAAATTATATTCATACTGTTTTTACTGTTATGAAATTTTCATAGAGGAAAATTGAATAACAGAAATTTCCATAGGAAATTTGGAGAACAATGTTTTCCTAAGAGGAAATTTTTGGTCTTGAATTTTTCCTCAAGGAAAAGTGTTTGTCAAAAATTTCCTCAGAGGAAATTGTTGTTGACAAAATTTCCTCACATGAAAAAGTATTTCCTGAAAGGAAAATTTGAAGATGCAAATTTCCTCACAGGAAAAAGTATTTCCTCAGAGTAAAATCTGAAGCCTCAAATTTCCTCACAGGAAATAGAATTTCCTCAAAGGAAAATTTGAAGCCGCAAATTTCCTCAAAGGAAATAGAATTTCCTCAAAGGAAATAGAATTTCCTCAAAGGAAATAGAATTTCCTCAAAGGAAATGTTAATGCAGCAAATTCCCTAAGGGAAATCTTTTTCCCTTGAGGAAAATACAATTCCCTTGAGGAAAAATCTTTTTCCTGTAGGGAAATTTGATTTCCCTTGAGGGAAACTACTTTTTCTCTGAGGAAATTGTTGAAAAAAGGGGCATAACTTTTTCAACAGTGGTGCTAGAGCCAAAATTTGTTAAGACAAATATCAGGGAACCAATACCAACCAAGTTATCAACTTCATTTTGACTTAACTCCAAAAATTAAGGTGACAACTTTTGCACTCAGCGGAAGTGCAAACTTGTCCCGGAAACTGTTTTATATTTAACATTGCCATAAAATCGGGAGGTTTAGCTAGCCACAAATCCAGGTTCAACCCACCATTTTTTTCTTAAAATGTCCTGTACCAAGTCAGGAAAATGGCCATTGTTATATTATAGTCCGTTTCTGTGTGTGTTACATTTTAATGTTGTGTTTCTGTTGTGTCGTAGTTCTCCTCTTATATTTGATGTGTTTCCCTCAGTATTTTTAGTTTGTAACCCGGATTTGTTTTTTTCTCAATCGATTTATGAATTTCGAACAGCGGTATACTACTGTTGCCTTTATTTATACTTAAATACTTCAAGTAAATTATATCAACCGTTTTCTTTAAAAAAAAATCAAGATAGTTGCAAATAGATACGAGTCAATTGTGATGATACAGGAAAACGCAGGCTAACTGAGGAAGGTTAGCATATAAAAACGTACGAAGAGAGAGAGAGAGAGATATATATATTCAAATTTCCTGTCATGGCGTACATTTGATTAGCATACTTCATTTCAGATAGGAATGCAGGTCACGTTTGGATCGGAGCACATGATTCAATGAGAGAATCTCATTTTGTGTGGGAAGCTGACAATACAGATGTTACTTTTACCGACTGGGCATCTCGCCAACCTGATAATTGGCGAAATGGCGAAGATTGTGTTCATTTGGACTACGGCCTGTCAAACACATGGAATGATAATAGCTGTTCAAAGAGATTAGGATACATTTGTGAAAAACAATAATTGCATTGAGTATCAAGCTGAAAAGTTGAAAGAAAAGCAATCGAAATAACAATCGGACATGACAACTTTTGAGTCGTTCTATTTTATGATTTAATTCACTTTTGTAAAATCATATATAAAATATTTAAGTGCTAAAATGCTCCAGCTACTTGCAATTATGTTCACTTTCTTACTCAAAACAATGAAACACAAACACAATTAATGTTTGGGTACTGAATGGCCTAGTGACCAGCTTAAACTTTTATTTTCAAATACAAAATATCTCCTCTGCCTCAAAGTCCAAACTAAAATATAAAGTCTCTATTAACACAAAAGAAACTGTTTTGCAGAATCCTACACGTGTTCTGTAACAAAACAATCTACAAAATATAAGAAACAAGTTAAAGATACTTAAACAATATGAAAGCAAAACTAAAAAAATATTTTTGAAGAAAAAAATTAAGACTTCTAACTATAAAACGTGTGCTGGATTAGTCACTACCTAATTCTCGGTAACTTAAATCGTGTGAAGTTACCGTAAATACTGACCGCCACGCCGAATAACAACAATTGTTAAACAAACCTATTCAAACTCTCCTTTATAAAATCATTGCGCAATCTTTCATACTCATTCCGCATAACGCTTTAATTCACTTTGTTTAAACAAAAACAAACTATTTTTTTGCTAAAATACTCCATCTTCTTTGAAACCATGTGCAAATAATTGAGCACATGCAATTATGTTCCATTTTCTTACTCAATGCAATGAAACACAAACACAATATTTGGATAATGAATGGCGCAGTGACCAGCTAGACCCACAAAGAAAGCAGGCTAAATTAAAGCTAAATTCCAAAATTCTTAGAAACTGCTATACGATTATGTAAAAATTCTAGCTGGTTTCTATTGTTTGATCTTTTTGATTTCCAGTGACCGTGCATTCAACATTTTCTATCAGATTTATAATTCTGAGCGGCAGCTGTAGCCTCACCCGCTTTAAACTATATAAACCGAAAACAGTTACACTAGAGCCAAATTCAGCTAATATCGTGCAGATTTTCTTTTCTTAATGCAAAATGATTAGAGACTAAAGAACGATATCGTTATACATATAAACGTATCATATGTCATATATCTTTATTAGACAACAACACGTTCGTAACCATCACAAACAATTTAGATGTTCACTTTAATATGTGAAAATTCATTTAAGCGTGTTAACATGTATAAGCTAAAGAACGCATAGTAAGCAAGTGCAAGTTTGAGTGTTCTACTGCAAGTATAAGTTCAGCAAAAAAACTTAATGATATAAAAATCAGAGGTTATTTTTCTTTATATTACTAGATATTTTTGTCATGGATACCTTGCAGAAATTAAATCTGAATCACGATAATTTTTCCATGTTTTCCCGCTAATTGTGTGCCCAAATGATACTATAAAAAGTGAACTGAAATATTAAATGCATTGCAGTATATTTCGTGAAAGGTTGAAGGTAAGGATCATGATTTTCTTTGGATGGTAAAAAACAAGTTAATGTTCGACACTTTCTGTCCATTTTGCATATCTTAACCCCCCCTTCCCATCAGCTGCTGGTAAAATGTGTTATGCAGTCGAAGCTCTGGATGTGCCACTTCATGGTTTTGGACCACTATTAAATAGAAAAGATTTTGTATGTTTACGTAACACTTCAAATTAATCTATAATTGATCCATACCGTTATGATTTTAATCTGGTCCAGTGACCAACTTTACACTATGTCAATACATGAAAAAATATCTCATTAATTGTTAGTCCCGTACTCCTATTAGAAATGACTTCTCAAAGTTTACGGTTCCGTGACCTCTGAATGTTAACAGTCCAGTGACCTCCGAGTGACTACGGTCCAGTGACATTTAAGGATGCCTAGGATACACAGTATATAAAAAAACCAAGTGGTTAAAAAATCTTTACATACAAACTGTAAATTATGATAAAAACATATCAAATCATGTCTGAAACATAAATTTCCCGTTCGCAAACATCAAAGCCTTATCAATACCTGCACTTAAAGTCACCAGTTTCTTGAAATTCTTAAACATCTTACACAAACTGAACATCTTTTAAATTCATTTTTAATAGAAGCTACTAAAACACAAACGATGGTCATTCTGGAACAACTTATGTTCATTCTGATTTGCTTGTAACTAAATGATTGTTGCCTTTTTTCATCAATAGAATATAAAAAGAGGACTAACTAATTATCATTACCGTTCCAATTACAAGTAAAAGCCAAAATAGAAGTATTTTTCGGATCCGTAAAAAAGATTTCAAACTTTTGCTAAGCTTTGTGTTGCTTATATTGACTTTATTTTAACTGTATGATGACCGCAGGATATATCTAGAAGAAGAAATCAAGACAATAAACTCTTATTATTATTATTCTGTGTAGTGTCAGCCACAGTCCTTTCAATTTCCGACAATTTGTTGCTGAAATAAATTTTCAATAAAAAAAAACCCAAACAGAAATTAAGAGACAATGATTTACAGCATGTAGTTGTACAGGATTTAATATGTGTCTGGATGAAATTAGAATTCTAACTATAAAGTGTACTGGTTTTGTCACTACCGAATCATCGATAACTTAAAACTCGTGCAGTTACTCTTTATACTGACCGCTAAACCGAATAATAATAAATGTTACACAACCTTTTTTAACTCTCTTTTATAAATCATTACGCAATCTTTTAAACTCCTTCCGCATAACAGACATAAATACATGTATTGCAATATGAACGAACATTCATATAGTTAAAATACATAGGACTCTCCAAAAAAAAAACAACCCTTAGACCAATTATAAAGTCTTTAAACAATGTCTGTCAAATGAGATTTATTAAAAATATATGTTCACATCACACCAACGGAGATTAATATTACAAGAGCTTACTTTGAATTGTACAGTCACTTATATGTAATTGTTTTCGGCGAAATATGTAACTTAATTACAAGTGCCCTTATGAAATTTACTATTGAGTATTTGGCAACAGTAGTCTACCAATGGTCAAATCATATCATACATCGATTAAGAAGATACAATTTAAGGTAACAGACTACATGTGTTATTACTTTTGTTCTAAAACCCTTATTACATCATGTCAAACATGAAGTAGTACATATTCTGAAATTATTCTCTGAAGTGTTATTTTCGTTAGTTCAGAATTTCAACAAAATATAAGTATTTTTTAAAAACATAGATGTAGATCTAGGTTGCTTATTTATTCGATGTCCCTAACACTTTAGGAGAGTCATAAACTTCAGCTGACAGGATGTTTAGTTTTCAATGATAACTTATAATTTAGCTAACCATGTATAATTATATCTGTTCATCTACATCTTCAAATAATGTATCGTTTACATGGAACTGTCTCAAATCATCGTAGAAAAGTCTATACAAGATTCCTACCCTACGATATCAAAAAACAAAATATATGTTTTTGCATCGTATTTATATAATGACAATGTTACACTGCTCTTATGAGAAAATACGCTTACATTTCAGTGTACATTGGTTGGCTACGTATAGCAATAACTTTAGTATTTTTAGACAGAATAGAGAAAAAAACGTTATTTCAAAAGGAAATATAGAACTATTGTTCTATTGAACCCATTCCCTTTGTTAATATCAAACAAAAGAAATGATAAGTTACTGATAAAAAAAGTGGAAAACCCTTGCTTTCATAAAGAATAACTCTTTAGAATATACATAAAAGTCACTGCATTCTTAATTCGTTCTGTAGAAATGTTTTAAATGAAAATGGGTGAGCAAGTTGGACATGTTTATGATATACCGATGGAATACCAGAATACATCAAACCACGAATATAGTACCTTAACTAAAGTGCGGAATGATAAACATGCTGAAGTTTATAAATTAAGTAAGAACAGAGACGAATTAATGATTGTCCTGATAGTTATGCAGTTGATTTGTGTATCAGTGACAGTTGCATTCATTATCATGCATTTCAATGCTAAGCATGTTTCAATTTTAAAATTATTTTCAAAGTAGGGAACATTTTTTTAAGTCAAAGTATTCACAAAATACAAAACCATAATGGCTTTAAAAGAAAGTGTGTAGATTGAAAAAAAACAGAAGTTTATATCTTAATTCCTGAGTCTCTACAGAAATCGTGTTTTCTGACATGCTGATAGATTCAAATACAGAAAAAAAAAACTAATTGGTATCAAGTAGTACTCTTTTCACTTTAGTTGAAATGTAAATGTAGCTCTTTTCAAATTATTTTTATCTAGCCATAATAATGAAGATATCGATAAATATCCTATAGATATCTTTAAAATGGATATATTTAAGGTAGATAATTTTTGGAAAAAATTTTCAGAAATATTTGGACTGAACGTTCTTCAATCTTTTTTAAAACAAACACTAACTGTATTTTTTTCATCTCAAAAGTGACACTTTTCAAATTACATTTCAATGATTTGTTTTTTAATTGTCAAAAACATTTCGACGATGCAGTGAAACATAGATTAACAATCAAGAAAACATTTCCAATTCTTCTATTCGACAATATTCAGCAAAATCAGTGTAATTTCAAGTAACGATGCATGAAAAAGGCAACATTAGTTTACGGATTGATGTTCGAATCTCATACATCCATCCAGAGCGTTCAAATTAATGTGAAATACAGAACTGAGGAAATGGAGTAAAATTGGGCGTGTCGAAAGAGTAAATAATACATGCATCATCCCTCATACAAATCTACGCTCAGTCCAATATCACATAAGGGAGTATGTTATATTGGTCAATTTACAGATCAGACGACTATTCTGACATCTTAAAAGATCTAAGACCGCGAAACATGTCACTAGTGAGTTGAGAAACATGCACGCCGTATCGGTCAGCCGATTCGTGATGGTGACTGCAAATAAATAATGCACGTCAAATATTGAGACGAACAAAATATACATTCACGAACACACTTCAGAATTTTGGCCCAAGAAAACCAGTGATTATACAGTGATGCTTGAGAGGATGTTTCAATACATTATTAATCCTAAACCACTCAATTTTCTCATTGGTGAAAAATAGATTATACCTGAAGTTTGCGATGTGGGGTTTTCACCAATGACATCCCAAACCAACAGACACATATTAGACCGATATGATATACACGTTTATTTTCTAAGATTGATTGATTCGTATATCCTGCTTAGTATAAGACCGACGGGCTCAGACGCATTTTAACCTGTTACTCCACAAGTGGCATCCGAAGATCGTGTCATCATACTATGAATCAATAATTTTACTCCGAATCAAACTGTCTTAAAGAGTTTGCTATTGTCCCTATTTGTTGGTTGCGTGGCATTTAAGCAATAAATACCAAATTGATTGTAAAACTGTTTCGTTTGATAATTTTTTTTAAACTGCACTCTTTGCGAGCATGCTTCATCTAGACTAAAGGAGTTTACTTTATTGATACGTTAATGTCAATGAAATAAATAATTCATTAAATACAATATAAATATTTCCGCTAATATGGGAAATAGTGCAGTTTTATAAAAGCAGAACCAACCATTGACTTCATACAATTAGAATCTAACCAGTTAAGTCAGACAAAATCGGTTACTGTAAATTCCGATTTTATTTCTATGTTTTTATTTTGGGAAAGATTTTGACGTGATAGTGTTTTTTACAACCAAAAACTTTATATGTTGACCTATTGTTCAGCAATTGTACTACTAAGTGCGTGGACACATTTTTGAGTTTACTGTATCACTTGTTTAAACTTATTTCATTTGCAGAACATCACAAAATGTATTAGACACAAGTTAGTAAAACTTCGATCGTCCTCTCCTAAAATACACTATTAATCAATAGAGTTTCATAGCAAGCAAATCTCAAATTCATTATAATCAGACATCTCTAATTTAAAATTCATATTAACAAACAACAAAGAAAAGAAAAATTAGGAAAAAAAGGAAGAGTAAAAAATGCATGTATGTGTGTGTATGTGTGCGTGTGCGGATCACAACATTCAGATTATACTTTTGAATATAGTCAACCACATTTCTTAAAAAAAATTTCATTTTGCTCATTTGTCAGATTTATACTACTAGATGTCATAACTTAAGTGCTCCGGAAGGGTTTGCAGATCCTGCTCCTTATTTGAAACCCACCGAGTAACTTCTACAAAATATGTTGTTAAGGTATATCAATTGGTTAGGCATCACGCAATAGCGGATTTGTATTTGACTCAAATAATCTGACCGATATTACATATCGTAATTTAACTTATGAAAAACGTGTTTTAGCGGTCTGAAATCTTTATATACTAATATAAGATATAGGCAACAATACTTTACCGATGTTCAAATATCGATGAAGGTGACAAATCAATGTAGTAAACAAAAACAAAGGGAATCGCATGAATAAAAAAAAAAAGCTAGACTGGTGCGTCGATAGAGTAAGTATCTCCTGCAATACATATATAACCAGTCATGGTAAATCCACCACTCAGTCAAAATCTCACAATTGAAAAAAAGACACAATCGGTAAAATCATAGATAAGACGACTATTATGTTATCTAAAGATTTAAGTTAGTTGAGTCACTTACATATCGTATCAATCAATAAATTCACAAAGGTGATTGTAAACATTGTTACAATGTCGATTTCAGTCCTTCAACCTCATAACTCTGTTGAAGTTTTTGTTGTGTTAGAAAATTACCCCAGGCCTGCTAATGGAGTCTTTATAGTATAAATTTGAACGAGCGCAACGTTTCAGTGGAGTCATGAATACGCCATACGTTGGAACAGAGGGTATGTTACTGCTGCAAAATGGGAAGGTGACAATTGGATAGTTGAAATCTTCACATCTGTCATAGATTCTTGTTCGAAGTCGTCTATGTATAAGATTTCTCATGACCTGCAATAAAAAAAGTGTATCTACAATTCTGATTTTTTTGTAGATCAATCTGTTTAGTGAGACGTTGTATTCGATCTTCAAATACGCATTGGAAATAGTAGTGTAAAACGTCGAAAAACCAAAGATTTAGTTAGATACAATTTTACTGATGGTCATCTTTTATTGTAGAAAGAATGGAAGTAAGAACTTTAGTAAGATGTTTGTTCCAACATCATGACGACCGTGCAATATATCGTTCTTTAAAAGGATGTTTTGTGGAGTTAAGGTATCCTGTTAAGAAAGGAGATTTCCATCGTCCTTTATTTTGTTAATAACAAAAAAAAAAAAAAAAAAAAAATGGACGGATTTGTGATTTTCTAAAATCTCCTCTTTCATGAATAATGTAATGGTATATGTAGGATTCCCAGTTTTGTTGTGAATTTCGAGTTTCCGAATAACGACCATCTACGTCGTCTGGTCTTCTAAGTACCGAACGTTACCTATTCCCGAATATGA